CATAAAAAAATACATCAAAAAAATTAAAAAATACAAATGACATATTTTGTGTACATTTATTAGATTAAGAAAATTGTAATTCTGCCCTGCTTAAATCATATGATCATAATTAATGTAAACCTTAGAAGAATCCCAGCACACTGTTCTATACAGTCCTATATGTTTCCATCTTAGTATTAATTAACTAATATTTCTACATAAAAGTAAATAGTTGCCAATGCTGTTCATAACATGTCAGATTGGCTTTCCTGTCTATTCACTTTGCTTTGCTGAGTTTTGACTATTTTGTTAAAGCTTAACTAAGCAAGGGCTGTTCTAACACTATCATTCTGTCCAGTCTTCTAGTTAAATAAATAAGAATGGTGATAAAAAGAAAACCTAAACATTTAAATTTTACCAAAGGTTAAATATACAACTTGTCAAAGTGGATCTACTGATAGCCAGTTCATATTTTGGTTTCTTACTTATGTAGCATTTTGCAGTGAACGCTGCCTGGTTGGAGCATTGCTAGGCAACCAGTATTTGAAAATTCTGTAAGTGGGTAAGTTGTGATAGCTCCATGGGGTGACTGATAATTGACAGTTCTCTTAGTGAATCTGCACTGCAGTTAGGTTGAGCATAATTAATCACCTTACCTGAAGCTGAAGAATTTTATGTTCATAGTTTGATTTTTATGGGCTACTTATGTATTTCATCTGCTTTATTCAATATATTTTAATAATGTTATTCACTTTTTATGTGACATAAAGACATTGTAGTAATATCATAAAAGATTTATGAATCAAAATTTCTTGACTACATCTCAGGATTACAGTTTAAACTTCTTGTCCATGAAATATGCTATTGTGTATTTACCTCTATATTAAGGAAACATAAGAAATATGCTATAACTTGAATTAATACTAAAGCTCGTGAATATGCAACACAAAAATCAGCAAGACTATTTGCACTATCTTGATCCTACAGTGCTTAATTACATCTTAAGCTGATGAAGGTTGAATTTGCTTGTGAGTCATCAAAGAAATTCCCTAGAGATTCCGGCAGATCCGGGTACCGATGCCCCAGAGCTCCATGCTGTGGGTTCCACAAGGTGGCTAGCCTAGAGTTCCTTATGTAAGAGCGATCCAATGGGCTGATAATTAAGAATGATTATACTACTTAGTTTTTTGTCATTTGTCAGTTATGTACAAGAAATGTAGAGATATTCAAGTAACACATGTGGTAGAGCCATTGCTGTTCCATTACAGAGAAAGATGACACAGGATGAGATGGCCTCTCCTTGAAGAGGCGCCATTCACCTCCAAAGCCCCAGCTCTACGCAGACAGAGTAGAAGACAGAAAGCAGTGCCAAATAAGCAAGCAGTGCTTTTCTTGACACCAGAAATAAATTACGGTTAATTTCATAGACTTATCTTAGACTAATTTTATAATCAGAATCACCTGGTTTTATATTTCAGAATCTGGAAGGATTTGTTTTACTCTGCAGTTAAGAGAGAAGATTGTTTCCCCTCGAATGTGAGAAAGTATCAAACCAGAGGTTAGCTGTACTCAGAGGTTGAATAAGAGTACTGCTCTCTATCCACTTACTCAACAAATATATATTAAAAACAAACTTCAAGGACAGATGCTAGGGATACAATGATGGCAAAAACCTGATCTTAGCTCCAAAATAAATGTCAAAAACTTTCCCCTAGAAATGTCTTCTAGCAATACAAGATACATGTAAATTAAATTAATAGTCTTACAAAAGTAAGAGTAACCGCCCAACTATTAAATAGATAGTATTTGACTTCAGAAAAAAAAATTGTATCTATTGGTACTATATCAATATTAAAGCAGTACATTAAAATGAAAGGAAGTAATACTGGTTTTCCTATTTTTAATATGATTTAAGGGCCAGCCAAATAGCTCAGAGGATTAAAGCACCTGCAAGCAGGCCCAGGGGCCCAGGGTTTGATCCCCGGCCTACCATGCCAGCCCTGCCCCTGGGGTGCACTGAGATGGCAATTGAGACTGGACAGGGTGGCACGTGCCTGTAATCCCAGCTCTTGGGAGGCTGTAAACATGAAGATCACTATAAGTCCAATCTAGTAGTGAGACCCTGAACACCCTATAAACCCTTCTTTAAAATACAAATAATATAATAATAATAATAATAATAATATGATTTAAATTAATGAAAACACAGAAGCAAGTGCTTTGTTCCTAGAATTTCCAGAGGTGAAACTTAAAACAGTATTTTTCAGAAAAACTTCTAGATGGTTCTCATTGTTGGCTAAATATGCAAAGCTGATATTCTCCAAGTTTAACTTTGGGTAAACCATTGGATAAAGTGTTAATTTGACCAGCATATGGAAAGCATGCATTATCTAGCAGTTTTTCTCATTAATTTGATATTTAATGAAAAACATATTGGCAGCAGAAAGCCTGCTGCTTCACATTGAACTATATTTATTTTATTACCCATAAGTCCTTGAGTACAAGGTTCCTGCCCCAAATGTCCAGAAAGCAGGTTAGAGAGATAAAAATGTGTCTGACACAATTTGACTTATACTTCATCAAATATCACAATGCATTTTAAAGCCTAAAGATAATTTTTAATGATCTAGGGTGCATATTGCAGAGTAAAGATAGGATAGAGGAAATTAAGAGCCCACATCTGTTGGGAAGAAATTATAAAAGGAAGAGGCATGATTGTTTGCAAAATAGTAAAGAGTGACATGTTGGTCATGACGCAAGTCTTCCCAAAGTCATTGGCAGTTGTAACAACTCAGCTAATTGGCAGCAGGAGAGAGGAGTTGGTGATGCAGAGATACTGTGAAGATGTGGGTGTTTTCACCCTGAGTTTCCTGTAGTACTTTAGAGACTGTTCCCGGTCACCATCCAAAGTCAGGCTTTGTTCTACTATGAAGCCTTTCCCTTACTTCTTCACTCATCTTCCTGTTTTTAATTGAGCACCTGCAACATCCTTAGCACTGAAGTGGGCTCTGCAGGCATCATTCACCAGTGTCTGCCTATGTGTGTGGAGAGCCCTGAATATGGTTCCTCACTTTTCTCTTGGACTGATGTCAAGAATTCCATCATTGTGTCTTTTCAATGTGATCTTACTTCTTAAAAAGACTATTTTCCATGTCTTTTGTGTGCTGTGTGCAGGGTCAGATGTGATCACGTTTCCAAGTGTCCGATTGCCTGTGTTCTATCCGAGCATCCTGTAAAACACAAGATTGCTATTATCAGGTCCCTAATATGTAACAGCTTCCTGGGAGTTAGGTAGACTGAAGTGAGAGACTAGTTTAATGATTTATTTTTAATTACATGTATAGAAAATCAACTTATTTACAGAAGAGGGGCTAGGGATACAGCTCAGAAGCACAATGCCTGCCTGGCAAGCATGAGGTAATGAGTTTGATTCCCCGAATATACCCCCCAAAAAATGCTTATTTCCTAAAGAATCTAACTTAAGGTGAAAAGGTATGAAATTAGAGTCGTGAAACCTAAAGTGTTTGTAGTAAGTCTGTGTACTGTGGAACTTCAATATAGAATAAAAACATAATCAAATTTTAATAACACAATATTATGTTTATTTACTGTTGTAACATACCTACTAACTAGAAAATTCACAATATGCAAGCACCTTATAATGAATAATGTTTGAGTTAACTATTTTAGAAAAATTTAAAACTGATCTTGAAACCAGTTCTAAAGCATGAACGTCTAATGGTTATGGATCTACCATTGGTATTGTTAAATTAGCTAAACCAGTATCACTTTCAGTCTTACATACATCAGATATAAATATGCTTACTTCATCCGGACTTATATGCTAAGTAAACATTTTACACAAAAGTCTTTTCATAATATAAAGGAGCCAGTTCTTAGGGAAATCTGTGGACTCCTTAGCCCAATGAATAGCATCGTTCTAGCACTAACTTTGATAGCATCTTATTCTAGTTAACAAAGTTCGGTGTGCATTTTATCATGTGCTTACCTCATCTTCTTTATATGGTAGCTCCTTCAGCTCAACCATTTCCTAATGTTATGCACTAATGGTAATAACATTGTAACAGGTTCGAGAATGCTGTGGCCCAAACTACTCTGATTCCACGTGGCACTCACACCTGGCCCTAGATCATTCCTACAGAATTTTTATCCTGAGGTTTAAGACTGGGATCTCTTCCTTTGTGCCGATCCCCAGAACAGCCTGATTTGGCTAAAAGTTCACTGCATCTCAACATTTAAGTGTACTTTGTTCTACTGTACTTTCCTTTTTGCTGATTTTGGTTTAAACTAAAGAAAAAAAAAAAAACACCAAAACAACCAAAGATCCGTTTCTGCCTGTACCAACTGGGCAGGTAAGAGTGCCAGAGTAACAAGTAGTTTCCAAATGCACAGTGAATCACAGGAGTGCATTGGCCAAAGAGAATGCGAAGTATCAGCTGTTGCTATATAGCTAACAATGTGCTGCTCTTTTGGAATTAGAAAATTATAGAATATATTCAATAACAACCCGTAGCCTATGTTTTCATGTCAATGAAAAGTGGATAAATTTAGATTGTTGCTGTTTATTTGCTCTTGATCAATCTTTTCTGCATTTGACATGAAAATACACTTGTGCAGCTTTGTTGGTTGGGTCACAATTTTAGACTAAAACAAACTATGCCATTTGCAAACTAATTGACAAAAGCAAGGTGACCGTGTCCCTGTGGCAGCTTACATAAGCTTTCTGCAGCATTTTATTTCAGAATCTGTATACTTAGGCTTTCACAAAAATCATTTCAGTTGTTAGCACTGTAGTTATAAAAAAAAAAAGTTATACTAGAGTGCTACATCTAATCTTGTGACCCCCCACCTCTACTAAAGCAGATTGGCATTATATTTAAGTTATTCTTAAATTACAGATGAAGAAAATGCATACAGAAGACTGGGGGGGAACACCTTGTGAATTTTAATACTATATTAAAGGCAATATTTAAAATATTCTCTGTGGGGTTGATTTGCAGAAGATAAATGCAACTAGTTCATCTGAGGGCAGCACAGTGGACATAGGAGCTCCTGTTGAGGGGGAGCAGCCGGAGGTTGAGCCTGAAGAGTCCCTGGAACCTGAAGCCTGCTTTACAGAGGGTGAGCTGAGCAGCAGGATGTGGAGCCTGTCCCTCCCATGCACCCATCCTCTTTTCTCTCTCCTCCACGCTCTCTCTCTCTTTTAACCCTATCTATCTATTTATCTATCTATATCATTTATTGACTACTTTTGCCTTTTCTATATCAAAACAAGACAACATTTAAAAATACAGAGTTTGCCTTAAGTAACTAAATAGTTACAATTTTTAGGATCCTATTCAATTCTGAGAAATGCTAACTGATTTTTCTGTGGCCTTCTAAGCAACAGGAAAGTCAAATCATTAGGTTCAAAAAATAAAAGAAGGTCAAAGAAGTTGTTATGCTTTCTTTTCTTATAGTACCTTGAGTACTAATTGATTAATGTATATTTAAGTCTATCCTTGAGTAACAATTTTCAGTATCAATCAAGGTTAATATTTTTATTATTTCTGAACAATAACCACAAATAATAAAATGCTGAAATATATTACAAGTTATATGATACTGGCAACATGTCGTAAGGAAATCTCAAGGATTTTCTGAAGAATATGAAAGTTCTGTTACTTGAAGGATTGATCAGTTGTCTATTTTAGTAATAATGCTCTTTACCAAATCACATGAAACCTTTTCTTCTAAGCTACTTTTCTGGTCTTGATTCTTAATTCTTTCTGTGCAACTGCGAGGTTTTCCTGAGTTTTGTTATATCACTTTCTTTATTCTTACATTTTCATGGCCTTAACATGATTCTTTTTTTGGGGGTGTGTGGTACTGGGGATTGAACTCAGGACCCTGTGCTTGACAGGCAAGTGTTTATTCTACTGAGCTATCTCCCCAACCCCTTAGCATGATTTTGATGCATCTTTCAAGATCTAGCCTCAAGAATACCTGAGCCATAAAGTTCTGAAACTTTATTTATTGATAAACTCTTACAAAACTTTATTTTGTGATAGTCACTGCTTCTGTAATTACAGAATTTATAGACAAATCATCCCTATGTACACTGCGTATTCTTTGAAGGCAGTTATCTTTAGAGTGATCATCTCATATTTTTCCCAATACAATTCTCTGAATATTTAGCCTTTGAAGAGTTTGTTTTTTTTTTTCTTTGCGGAACCAGGGATTGAACTCAGGCTCTTGAGCTTGCCAGGCAAGCGCTTATTTAACTGAGGCATCTCCCTGAGTTTTTAACCTAGTAGTCCATGAATTTCATAAGGATGATTATTAATTCTTTCTGATAATGCAAACTACAAATTGAATAGTAGTGGAAAAGTGTTATGACTCTGGCAATCTTATTTAGAGAAATATCATGAAATATTTAATAAATCAATTTGTTTCTGATAAGAAGAGAAATATTTGTATTATAACATTAAATGAACTAGTAAGAATTAACATGTATGAAATTTCTATATGGAGTGGAATTATACTCATAAGATAAACATGGGATGGAAATATAAACTTTTAGTAGCTTTATTTTGATATGTTTTATAATGTAACAATCTATTAAGATAGTCCAATACATTTATATTAAATGAA